ACCGCGCCATCTGTGACCCAGAGAAAACTGTGTGCTGACACCAGCCTGACCCTTTCGTTGCTTTTATTTTGCAACTTTGACATGGTCCTGTGAAGAACATGTGCACACACACACACACACACACACACACAGAAACACACATAAATCCACGGTTTCTCCCCATCACTTTCTCTCTCTCAGTAGTTCCAGAAGAAAAAGCACATAAATGCATGTAACATGGAAACACACACGATATCTGTCCTCCTTCCTGTTGCTGTATTCAACAATTACACCTTACAGTGTCCCTCTGCAGCCACAAGTACCACACACTCGTGTGAACACCTGCCAGCACAACAGGGTCAATTCTGGACTAATCAGAGGCAACTTACATTAATAAATGTGCAGCTGTGTGTGTCTGTGTGTTTGTGAATTTGTGTGCTTTTGTGCCAAATGAAAAGCTGTGTTTAACCAGGTCACTGACAAACAGGGGGATTATCAGTGCTTGGAAACTGTAACACTTTATCCCCAACACACAAATACACATCCTCGGTACCTTAATCCCACAATCACCACCCTACAATCTATGCATCACCATAATAACAACAGTTCACATAGTGCAGCAGGTGCCTGCCCCCTTCTCCATCTCTCTCACACAAACATCAATCTGACTTAATTTACAAAAAAAAAAACATTGCTGGCCTAATAAAAAGCACTACAGAGACATTGTGACTAATAGATCAACTCTAACACATGGTCAAATAAATCATACCCTTGTTTTCAGTTGAAGTGCCATCATCTCACTTTGCTCTATTCCCCATAGGCCCAGTAACAAAGGAGTCAGGAGTTTCACTTTACACAATGCCCTTTAAACTATTACAGTATGAATGTATGTATGCAGTACATTATATTCCTTAGTGCACCATCTGACACCTGAACACAGCACTCCCAGGAGTTCCGTTCTTACCTTGGCCGTGCAACATGTGGCAGCTGCTGCCGAGGAGGAGGAGAAACAGAGGCAGACACCACCGGCTCCCACTCCGGGTCCTCATCATCAGCTGCCGTCTCTCTGCTGCGGGTCCGTACACACGCTCCGGGGACCCCTCGGAGCAGCAAATACCCGGTTTCATAATGCGGGAGAGGGACCTAACAGTGTCCGTGTCCGCTTGTGCTTTGCTGCTGCAACTCTCTGCGAAGAAGTCCGAGCGGAGAGAAACCGGATTCAGCACTGCGCACTGCTCCGCGCTTTCCCGGGTGAAGCGCAGATCCGAGCTCTGGGGGTTCACCGCTGTCACGCTCTGACTTCCCAGCTCCGGTTGTCCAAGAGGCGGAGGGAAGGGGATGGGGGTCACCTCACCAGCAGGAAGACTTTTCCCCACTAGTCTGTCTTCACGGTATAACGGCACGGTAATCTCTATCTGCTGTGGCGGAGTCCCGGTGTTCCTGCGCCCTGCGGTACCTCATTTTCATTTGCACTGCTCCGAGAATTAATACATGTTGGTGTGTTTTAGACTTGTCGGCTTATTCTCTGTATGGACCTCCAATCCATGCGTTTCGAGGATTTGTCCTGCGGACCATTTAGTTGTCCTGGTCGTATTAACAGAGAATCGATCAAACACTCAGATTATCCATCTGTGCTTTTGTCCATGTGCTGTAAAAATCAATTCGGTCATCGATTCGGCGAATAGCCCTGGTTCTGGTTATGTCTGCACACAAACTGGGCAGACAAGTGTTGTGACTGAGAGCTCTGCAATCTGGTATCCGAGCACAAGTTAGTTAGTTATCCTAATTAACCGTTAACCTTAAATCGTCGCGGGTCGAAATCACCAAGCGCTCCCACGGGAGGGGACGCTTCCCTCGGATACAGGATACGCCAACTTGCCGTAATGCCTCCGTGTCTCGGGTTACACGGAAAATGACACAACAGGTTAGCAGCAAAACAAACGCATTACAAGTTTCTCAGCAACAACTGTTTTAAAGCCCGATGTATACACACTGCTGAAGAGGAGTTCATTAAAGCCACAAAAGTAAGAGTGTGAACAGAACAACGGCCGTTACACCGGGGCGGTCACGTTACTCTCACTGCGACACTGGAGCCTTTCGCCTTTTCATCCACACTTCAGCGGTCCTAAAAGCAGTCCACCCGGGCAAGAAACCGAAAACCCCACTACTTAAAATGTGTTTTATCGTTGTCAGTTCGTACTCACGGGAGTTTTTCTCCCAGGTTGCTTCGTTTTAGCCGGTGTCCTCGTCCATGTCTCGGTACCCTGTTGAGGTTTGAGGAGCTGACTGAGGCGATGCGTCTCCTTCCACTGAACACCTGCCACCCTCCTCTCCCCGACACAAACCTGAGAGGGCTTTAGTTCTTATCCAAGCTTTTTACCGTGGTTACGGTTTTCTGTAAAAGCACGATCAACATTTATGAGTGGCTGTATGCACTTTTTCCACTCTTATGCACCATTGTATCCTCAGTCTCTCCTCTCAATCTAGTCCAAACTCAAAAACTGAACTTCTATTCAATTCACTATCATCCCTTGTTGCTGATTGGTCGAGCCACATGTTCCCACTGTTCCTATTGGACAGTTCGATCCAAGGGGCGGGAAGCAACGCCAGTACGGATAGCGTGGTGGACGGCGCCCCCAAACCCCCACAGAGACAGTTTATACAAATGTCCTGTCAAAATAGACAAGGAAACAACTATTCAGAGGCCTTGTGTGTGATTATTGAAAATTGATAGATACATTACAAATCAAACGTTTTAGAACACCCCGATTTTTCAAGTTTTATTCACATTTAAGCAGTGATGAATAACCTTAAATTGTACAAAGTTAAGAAGTAGGCTAAGCTACCAGTAGTAGTAGTAGTAGTAGTAGTAGTAGTAGTAGTAGTAGTAGTAGTAGTAGCAGTGGAGCCTTGAAAATTGATGCAAACGCCTCTTACAGGTGTCCCAAGCAATACAAATAAATACATTTAAAATTTTTAAGAAACCTCCAGGCTCCAAAAGATGATCAGCTTGAGAAGATGAAATGATCAGCAGTGTCCAGATTTTCCAGATGAAAAGTGAAAGCAATGCAATCAACAAGTGCAACACATTTTATGGGAACTTCTGCAGCAGTGCTACTGTATATGTCTGAACAATATTTGATTGAAATTGTCTAAATAGTGACACAAGTGTGTTTGGCTGTTAAATCATACTAATATCAACTAGAAAAATTTAGATGATCCCAAAGTTTTGACTGGTAGTGTACAGCAAAGAGGACTATAGCACTTGGTTTTTCCTGACCCGTTTGCCTCATCCCTCATTCTTTACTGCTTTACAGGCCTTAAAGTATGTTTCTTTTTAGAGTGTATTATCATATTGATACCCTTCATCTCTACTGAGTAATTTCAGTAACTTTATGTGAAATGAGAATGTGAAAAGTGCCCAAATGCTTTTCAGTTTCTTCTTCTACAAGAAATTTTTACGGACTTAATTTGACAACCCACTCCTTCTTCTTAGCCTTTTCTTTATATGGTTTATTTGCTCATGGGTAGTTCTGGTGGGACTTCAAATGTCACTTAGGCTATTGACTAATGGCCTAAGTGACATGGCAAACATGACAGGTATACATTTAAAGAAGAGGATGAGGATTTTGTTCTGATATTTCTATCTGATTTATCCATAAAACTCTGAAGCGCTACCGGTGGTCCTCCAGGAACAAACAAGCATTTATTTCATTAGAAGGTAACTGCTTAGAGCTTCATCTTAGAACTAGTGATAACCTAGTTTCTTCCATAGTGAGGGTCATTAAATGGCACATTAATATTAAAGCCTACAACACAGTGACCTTATCTTTTATTGCCTCAATAAATCCTTACAGACAGACTTTCCATCCTCTGAGTGGCAAAATAGACTCCCTGCACTGTGTAGCAGTTCCCAGTGCACCCTCCTCAAGCACCTTCACCTCAGCACATCCATTTATGGTCCCATCCAGACTCATTTGGCAACTGGCCTCCAACTTTCTGTCTCCAGTAAAGTGATACTACTTGGAGCTTCCGTTAAAATGTCCTGCTGCTCAGTCTGCTGTTTCAAACTACAAAAGTTTTCCTGGATTCCACTTCAAGTCACCGAAGTCTCTAGTCCAAAGTTACTATCAGAAATATATGTGTAGACTCCATACATACAAACTACAAGGGCTGAGAAGTATAAAAGTCATGTGAATTATATGGCATAGCCTTGCCAGTCAGCGGCCATTTTATCCAGCTGCAAAAGTGAAAATTTTGCTACACAGAAAGATTAAAGTAAAAAAACCTTTCATTTTTACTCAAAAACTAACTGAACAATAAATGTTATTTACTAAATTACTTTCATCCTAAACATTCTATTGCATTTAAGGGAGCTCCAAAGGTCGCTAATTGTATATTTGCTAAGAGTAGACCACAGATGATTGTAGTACAAAAACAAAGGGCAGATATTGAATGTGCAAAATATAAATGGTCATGGTCATCTGAGTAGTCTTAGTTTTACTGTAAATGCATCCAAGTCAATTTCGCAAGTTAAATTAAATATTATATTAGAGATACATTAGCTTGTTTATTTCACATTTTAATTGTTAGATGAATTGGGGTTTTCACACACACACACAAAAAAAATTGCACAATAATAAAATCAAGTAAAATCCTAAGATTTTTAAGAATAATATGGCAGATGTTTGACAAATCCAGTAGTGGGGAAAGTATGCAAATCTTTCACTTAAATAGCAAAACCAGCATGTAGAAATACCCCATTATGACTGAAAGTCCTAGATTTAAAGTTTGACTTATGTACAAAAGTATTAGCACCAAAACAAACTTAAAGTACCAAAATTTAAAGTACTGCTTATCCAGAATGACCCATTTCAGATTAATATCTTCATAATGGAAAATCACTGATTCCTTAATAAACACTGTAACATAACTTTAATGTTGTTACTGCTTTGTAGATAATATTTAGAAATACACAATATTGTACTTGTTTATTATATTTTGTGTTAATAATAAATCTAGTACCTAAATTTATCAAATAAAAAGGTCAAAAAAGTGAGTGACAGTGCTCTTCACTGTCATAATAAAAACTCCACATGAGAAGATTTGTCTAAATTAAATTTAGCAAGTCATTTTAATTGCTTTCTTTGTCAGCCATCTTGCTGCTCAGGTATTTTATTTTGCTTGGCTACATAATACCGAAACTCTACATCAGTACCCCTGTCAAACGTAACATTTCCTTTGAGATTCTTTTTTTGCCCATCTACAAGGTCCTAGAGAGGCTGACCTGTTCCGCCTCTCTGCCCACCCAGTGGCCTTTGCTCCTTTGCATCTCAGCCTCCTTGTTGCCTCCTCTGTCACCCACCTCCACACCAGGCAAGCAGCAACATGTCTGGAGACTGTTCCTAAACTTTGCACATCTTCCAGTTGCTGTGATACGGTCACCATTTCACAACCTTCAGGCTTTATCACACAAGTTTTTGTCTCCCTCTTCTTTTTATTTATTTTTTTACAGAATTACTTGTTTGCAACCATGATTTTCCAAAATGAAAAGGAAAAAAAAAAATCTACCCTCTGCACCACTTTGGCAGTGCCCTTGAGTTTAAGCAAGGTATTTTTGAGAATGGAATATATTATCATACTCTAAATACAACGGTGCCCCTGGTCACCTCTGACCTCAGCTTTCACTCTCCTCAGACTGTTTTTGAATTGTTTTAGATTCCCAGTGCCTTTTCTCCTTGAGCGATCATCTCTAATAAAGCTGTCTCATTTATTTCCTCAGGTCCTGTTCCAGTGGAGGCAGATCTTGGATATCGCAATAATGTTATGTGAATAAATGTAAGCAGCATTTTAACACGTTTAGCTGCAGGGGAAAATATTCTCCAGTACTGATCCAAATCCTAAGTTGAAAAAAGGCTGGAAATTCATAAAGAAAAATATTTGAGGGAGTAAGTTGCCCATATTTTACCTTCTGGTGAATCAGGCTATTTGATTGAAAAAAAAAAACGCTGTAAAAAGCAATGTTTTCAAAAAAAATTTAAATTCTGTACAGGTACCTAGATAAGATATACCCTTACTACACAGTACCTAAAGGACCGATTCACCCAAATGCACCAACCTGCAATCTTGTTACCCATTGTTATGTTTTAACATTTATATTGCAGTCTAACATAATACCAAGATAATTTATTTTAAAATGTGTTCATTACATTTACCATTATAAGATTTTTATTTCATTTTGATGTTCAGAGAAAATCACAGAAAAACAATAATATTCATATCTGTGACAAAATATTATGAAATCAAGAATGACTTACTGGGATTTTCTAAATTATCAAGGGTTTCTCATAGCGTTCTTCAGTGCATTGGACCATGGCGGTGATATTTACAACCAAACACGGCCATCTGAGCAAAGTTAGGATATCTGAGCCAATTCCATTATTCCCACTTTGTAGAAAGCCATCAGATAAAGCCAGAAACTCTGGAAAAACCTAAAAAGTGAACCTTGAGTTTAGAATATTTTTCTTACATATACATGTATGTATTCCTTAAGTCGAGACGGAAGCTCCCTGCTCAAACCACAAAAAGTTGATGTAAAGTGAATTTCAAAATGTTTTTAGGTGAAACCCAGAGCAGCTTGGAATAATTTGCGCAAGCAGTAATTTACACAGCAATATTGGGTTTATTTTGTAGCATGTCCAGTTATTAGTACTTCCAGTCTATATATTTCCTTCACAAATGTGCCCCCTGTTACAAACACAGAGCGGGTCCCTGGTTCCAATATACAAACTGAATGAGCACTCACAGGTTCTAACTCTAAAGCCAATTTAGCTTCCAATTACCTGTGTATCCAGTACAATTACCACCACATTTTCAACCCACAATCCATCTATTGCGCTCTATCACCAAATCACGCTGTTATGGCTTACCGGCTAGAAAGACATATAACTACAAATACACGTTTGTGCACACACTATTCAGCTAGTAAGGTCGTCAGACAGATATCCAACCTGACGTGCATGGACATCTATCTCAGCTCCATCTTTCTCCTTCCCTGTGCTCTGATGATCTCACCCACCCTCCCTCTGTTTAACACACACATACACACACACACAACACTCCCACTCTCACACCAACACAGTGATGAGATGACCCCCGCTGAGGGCTCTATGATCGGGCTGAACGATCATACCAATCTCTGTTATTCTCTCAGCGGCAAACATTGGGAATGTTCCCTGTCTCTTTAACACCTGTTTGACTAGGCTAATGACTTCTGTCCCAGCAATCAACACAGCCGTGCATGCACACACACACATCCACAAACACATGGGCACACAAACATGGGCATGCAGAGCTAATGAGTGGCTTCCTGCAGCTCAAGCTGTCATTGTGGTGGAGGGAAATAATGTCAATATTAACTGACCTGTCATAGTGGTGGCACGCTGGGAGGATACAGACAATGGGAAAGTGGCTACAGACAAAGAGAGAGACAGAGATTTTAAAGCATAGCTGTGGGACTAAAAGCATCCGTTTCTCAATTCTTGTTTCTTTAGAACTCTTGTTTCTCTCATTACTATGTGCTGTTTTATCAAAATGCTTTTTCACCATCATCTAATTGCTGCAGGCTGCTGGATATGAATCATGCTTCAACACAGCATGTGTCCAGCTCCTAAAATGAGCGCACAGTGTCTGTCAGTATCACATATATTTTCTGTTGTGTATTGAAACATAAAGCTATAATATGATAGTCTTTGGTTATTACTAAGTGCCAATAAACAGTCACTGTAAATGTGTTCAACACTGGGTGAGCACTCCTTCTCCTGTGGAGAAGATCACCAGGACTCCACTGCCCTCTCTGCAGAGCATTTACCACCGCAGAGTGCGTAGGAAAGCTGCCTCCATTATCAAGGACCCCACCCACCCCCAGCACAGACTGTTTATA